CAAAACCGGAGCTGATTCTTGAAAATTTTGACAACCTCGGAACCGACAAGCAACACCCTTATAGGTTCTGCAACAGAGGATCTTGCATGGGGTGGAACCGCTACGCGTAGTAAGGTGTCTGTTTATGTGTGTTTCGCGCTGCGCTCAATTGCGGAACGACAACGGAGTGGCTTGGACGAGGCTGCCTAGGGACGCTTATAGCACAAAAGTCGCAATAGCAACGGTGCCATAAAGGTACTTCAAAAAGAGTCCGTGTCTTTTTCACAACTCTGTCAGACCGAGGTGCTGACTCTGACCAGCTCTAGCCAAAAGCAAGAGCAGATGTGTGCATTCCACTGTGTGATGCATATGTAAGTACATGAGTACGTATGTTCCTTCGTGCTTACGTCGCCGCAGGGGATGCAAGTACGTTGTGCGTCCGGCAGAACGTAGACAGGTCTGTTTAAAGTGGTTACGTACGTAAGTCGGTAGGTAGGTAGGTCAGTAGGTACGTAGGTAGGTAAGTAAGTAGGTAGGTAGGTAAGTAGGTAGGTAGGTAGGTAGGTAGGTAAGTAGGTAGGTAGGTAGGTAGGTAGGTAGGTAGGTAAGTAGGTAGGTAGGTAAGTAAGTAGGTAGGTAGGTAAGTCGGTAGGCAAGGTTACGTACCTTAGGGACTGCCTGGTTCCGGTACATACGTACGTACCTGCTTCCTCCAGGCGAATATAAAACTCAAGGGTATGAAGGTACGTACGTACGTTACGTAAGTAGGTCACTAAGCAGACAGCTACAGGTAGATAAGAAAGTAAGTATGTAGCTAAGCAGGTCGGTGGGTCGGTTGCTAGGTAGGTCGGTAGGTAGGTAGGTAGGTAGGTAGGTAGGTAGGCAGGGAGGGAGGTAGGTAGGTAGGTAGGTAGGTACGTAGGTAGGTAAGTAAGTAGGTAACTGAAAGCTAAGTAGGTACTGTAGGTAAGTGCGTAGGTAGGAAAGAGGGACAGAAGAAGCAAGAATGGAAATGGGAGGAGCAAGAGAAAAGAGGAGAGTGAAGGAAGGGGGGTTGGGAGAAGGACGGCAGAGACGGAGGCAAGGAAGCCGAGGCGGAAGGACGGGGTCCACTCGCCAGCTGACACAGGGTGGGAAAAGTATGGTTTGGGGGTCAAAAAAAGCTGTTCGGGGGTCAAAAAAGTGGAGATGCAGGGTGGAAAAGGTAGGATCAAGGGGCTAGAAAAGCGGGCAGCAGGGGTTAGAAAAATGGTTGAGCACGGGCGGAGTCCGCCGGGGTCAGATAGATAGGTTACAGGGGTCAAAAAAAATAGGGGGGGTTAAAAAAAATATGCTAGGGGGTGGAAAAAATAGGGGGCCCAAGCATCAACGTGTTCGCGGGGGCAGCTGACTGGAAAGCGAGGCGACCAGTCGAATGCAAAGAAGTCGCCGAGGAGGACGTACCTCGCAGCGAATATCGGCCCCCCTCGAACTTCGATCGCCCTTACTTCGCCGAAAGAGCCGAGGGAGCGCTTAAGCGGCAGACGCTCTCAGCTCCCGGCGCGAGGAAGAGCATCCGGCCAGCCTGGGCCTGATGAAACTCATCCAACCAACGGCTCTTTCCAACGGCTCCTCCTCTCTTCTCTTTCTTTCTCTTCTTTCCTCTCTTTTCTTCTCAGGCCAGGGGTCCACCGAATGAGGGAATTCGAACTGGGCCGCGATCACGAGAGCAGTCAGGAAACCTGCGCAGGTGAACACCGACGAGGAGCCAAGATGTGCCATGCCAAGTGGTCGGACCGAAGTGGCAGTACTCCGAGGGCGTCCGTTGAACGAACTCCAGCCCACGGTTCCTGCGTGCATGCATGAGGGTTCACGACTGCACTAGAGAAACATCCCTGGGGCCTGAAGTAATGGGTAATGAGGTAACGGTCGAAGTTGACGCTCGCTTTGCAACGTGCACCCCAGTCCTCATAAGATTGAAAGCTCTGCGAAATGGCATGCGGCTCAGCAGGATGCGTCCTCCACAAAAAACCAAGCCAGGTGCTGGGTGGTCTGACAGTCCTCCAAGCCGAAAAAAATGAGCTGCTCGCGGACAAACCGAAATGTGCCGAGCCTCCTTGCAAACGATCCATCTCCACTTCGCCACCAGGCTTCTAGCCATCGACTGTTCAGAAAAATGAGCTATGCTGAATTTGAAGCTTCGCGAGGCCATGCGCAACAAGGCCTCCAGCTCTTTGGCACCGCTCGCCTCGACATCCCAGCCATTCCTGTGGCAGTCACCGACAAGAGGCTAGACGCTGGCAGTCTCGACGACTGACAAAGCCTGCTATGTGCAACAGCTGCCAGGCGAAATCTCCCCCATTCCGGTGAACTTGAACAGTCCACGTCTGTGGGCCGCAGGACCTGCAGCACGAGTGTGGTCTCTTCAAGGCTTGCAACTGCCGCCTTGGCGACTATTTTGACTCTCGTCAGCAAGCCATCTCAAATGACTTCAAGCACAGGCTCACTGGGCTCAACAGGCGAGTCGAGCAAAGCGTACGGGCCCAAGAAGCCACCATAACGGTTGTGCGCCAGCCAGCAGGCACAATTGACCACACCTTCTGGACAACTGTGTGCGAACCTGTCCTTGTTCTCAAAGAACGTCGACCGCAGTTCAGCTAACTGCGATGACATGCTTGATACTATATCCGGTCGCTGATCGAAGAAGTTCACTTGCTCAGTTGGGTCGTGCTCCACGTCGAACAGACAGCCATCAGAACATGCGGAAGCCTTGACTTCTTCGGAGCTTCCGTTTGGGAAGCTTGGGCCTTGCCAAAAGCTAGGCGCAGTCGCAGCAGTGATGAGCTTCCAACCACCCGAGATGAGGCACGAACTGCCCACGGGCACGATGGAGCGCGGCGAGCGTTCAACGGCTCCACTCAGGTAAGGCCAGACATTAAGTGAATCTACCGGCGGCAGACCCGCAGCTGCGGCGCGGTCATCAAAGACCTCGACACCTGCAAGACTGCAGAGAGTTCCGTACCAGTCTGCGATGTGTATGATACCGCTTTTGCTCGTGCCGCGCATCTCTTGCGGAATTGCACCCCCAGAGACAAAAGCGGCTGCCCGTATTCCACCCTCAAACTGGCTGTACTTTCCACCACGGAGTGGCCAATTGTTTGCTGCGTTCTCTGCCAGTCTCACCGGCCCACCGTTGTCGGAAGAAAATATCATTAGCGTGTTGTCCCACATGCCTTTTGTTTTCAAAGCGCCAGTGATATTTCCCACAACTTCATCCATTAGCATGACCATTGCAGCATGCTGCTGCCGGCACTTATACTCCAGTGTCAAGTTCGATGGATCAATAGGATGCTCGCTCTGAACTGTTTGTTGACGGCATTGGTCCTCGTCATCGGACATCCAACTAAATTTGTTGTAGTACTGCTCTGGAACCTGCAACGGGCAATGAGCAACATGCGGGGCATAGAACAAGAACAGCGGAACACCCGGATCGTGTTGCTGAATGATCGATAGCATCTCAGTCTGATAGAGATATTCGGAATATCCGGTGCCATTTACATCACGTGCTCCGCGGTTGGTACGCCAGAAGTCTATGATGGAGGGGTCTGACTCGCAGCAAGTCTGCATGTTGCCTTGATCGTAGAAGTCGTTCTTGTGTGAAAAGTAGTGTAGGCTGGTGTCGTAACCTCGACCATGCGGTGAGTGACGCGGGGTTGACATCCCTGCATCCCATTTACCAGCAAAGTGGGTGTTGTATCCTGCCAGCTTCATCTTCTCCGCCACTCCGGTCATGTTGTACGGGATGCCAGTGTCATCATCACAAACATCGCCCAAACGGGTGTTGACGTGGACAGGCAACCTTCCCGACTGAACTGATGTTCTGGTTGGTGTGCACATAGGGTGCACATAGTGCCGGGCAAGATGGATTCCAGATGCTGCAAGACTATTCAAATTCGGAGTCACAACTTCTGGGTTGGGCTGCTCACGATGAAATCCCACGTCTGCCCAGCCCAAATCGTCAACTAACACGAACAAAATGTGCGGCTTCGGAAGTCCTTCTGTCCGCCACGCAAGCAGTGCAGGCAAGAATGAACACAGCTTGGCTGCCATGAACGACAAATAAGTCGACAACTTCCTGCCCAAATTGCTGCAACAGCTGCTAAAATCTACAACTACGCTGTACTGCGCGCCAAAGCTTGAACAAAACGACAACTCACCACTGAGAGCCTGGGGGCACCCTGTCCATCCTTAAATGAAACTAAAGCGCGCCTCCTCTGCGCTGCGAGGAAGGGGTGAAGCCAAGGAAACCTGAGCACGCTCAAAGTTCACTGAAGGTGCCACTGAAGGCCAAGTGCCAAGTGCCAAGCAGCGACTCCGAGGACCAAAGCAGCTGCTCTCGGCCGACGGCCTGTGGAGCGAGCTTCGCCTAACGACCTCACCGCAGCCCCCTGTCACCGCAGAGCGCCTGGCCTGGCCACCAACTCATGAGTCGAGAGGCTCATGGCGATGGGGCCTATGCGATTTCGATGTCTCACTGGGGCCGGCTCTTGTGCTGCACCGTTCACATAAATGTGTGTCCCCAATTCAAGAATCCGCGGTGATTGCCGCAAGCCAAACGGCTGTCGAAGCTGGCAGAGCATGATCTGATGCGCAATGCCTTATGCTTCGCTCACGAACTTTCAACAGCGCGTTTGAGCTGGGTCGTGCCGTCTTCCAATGCACCTCGCTTCCGTCCAGCGCTGCAGCACATTCGCAGGACGCATTCCACCGTAAACAGACAAACAGATGCTTCCCCTCGAACAGAATGCCGGCCCACCTCTCTGGGTGGAGGATCCCGGCCTCTTGGCACATGCAAAGCTGGCCTGAATCCACAAAAAGCACGGCTCTGCGAGAGGACACGATTTTGTCTGAAGCTTCGTCGGAACCGACTCGGCGCCAGGCAGCTTGTCTTGACCTGCCAGGGCATCTAATCATTGCACTTCTTCAATTTCAATCCTGCCTTGTGAAGTGTGGCTGTTTTGACACCGGCGTCACACGTCGTCTCTCCGCCTGGCGCAGGAAAGCACGTCGGAAGTCAAAACGAATCTCAGTCTCCTAGTTATTGTTCCACCATGCGCATGATGGAGTGGAGTGGAGTGGAGCGGAGTGGAGCCGAGTCGAGGGGAGGGGAGGGGAAGGACGGGAAGGGAGTGCGAGAGAGACAGAGAGACAGACAGAGACAGAGAGTGTGTTGTCATTGCTCGTCTGTTTACTACGATCAATAACCTGTGATACGGTACATGTCCTTGTTGCTCCCACTACCAGCGTGAGAATGACAATGGCTTGGATGATATGCCGTTTTGCAGCTGCACGGCTGCATCTGCACTGTCTGGGTATCTGGGGTTCAGCTTGTGCCAGGCGGACAGCGCTAGGCCTGGTACTCGGCCCAGCGGCACCGGGACACTGTCTCGCGTTCCTGGGCAAGAGCCGTGTGGAGCTCGTCACGGTCAGAAGGACGATTTTACTTCGCCTGGCTCTTCGCTTCAAGCACGCGCGAACCAACATCGCAAGCCCGAACCTTACCCGAAGGCGACACGTGGCTCTGCAGAGTCGTCTGCTTCAACCCACGACCCCAAGAGCTGCTGGGTAAGCCACGTCTTGTCTTCGAACAACCAAGTCCAGCCTGCCCAGACTCTTTAAACTTTGCGTTTGCCCAGGGCTGCCGAGACTGCAGAGACCTGCCTTGGAGTTGGTGGCATCTCCGGGCGTTGCCAGAAGTGCTTGCCCTGGCTGTGCAGAGCTGCCTTGCAGAGTTCCGCCTGCACACCAGGTCGCCTCGTCTTTGGAGGGGGTAAAAAAACGATGAGCGGAAGGTCGCAGAGGGAAGAATTGCAGACCTCGCCAAGGTAAGGAAGGAGCAAAACTCGTGCCGGAACCCCAAAAAGCCGGCCTGGCTTTTTCTTTCGGCGCCAGCTTTTACTCTTCGGGCTGAAAGCCGTGTCCTGCGTCTTTCAGTCGCAGGATGCTTCAAAACGCGGTCTACACATCCCGCGCCCGCAACTGGAGTTCCCAGTCTCCGTGGCTAATTCCAGGTGTGCCCGACCTCAGCCGGACCCGCCGCCCGTCCGATGGAGTGCCTTTTCCTCTGTGCCAAGGCGCCGCGGAGGATATTCCTCGTGGATATTGTCAAGCCGGTTTTGGCACCACGCCAGGGCCTCGACACTTGATGGCTGTGGTTTCCGGGACTCTATTCCGGCAGGCTGCCAATGCTGGAAAAACACACACTCACGATCCGAGCGATGCAACTTGAGCCCAACCTACCTGACCTCTTCAGAACACTCTTGCATCATGGAGTGGGGCTGAAGATGGACCCGGCATCCAGTTGTTGGGTCCCCGCTTCTGCTGCAGTGGTGAGGTGGAGGCTAAGGCCTGCAAGCTTGGGAGTGAATTAGCACACCAATGTCTTGTTTACATGTCTCCACGGTCACTTGCTTACGCTTCGCCGAACTGTTTCAAATTCGAACATCTTCTACTACCACCGGACCCAGCGAAACCGGGATGCCGTTTTTGCGCTAAGATCAGCTCCAAGCCATGGTCCGTCCAACGTGCCTTAAGGGGCCGGGAAGGCAAAGAGACCTCGAAGACCTGCGCTTCCGGGGCCTCGGCGACCTCGGCCTCCGTAGAAGCCTGGTCCCGTAGCACGATGCGCGCAACGTCGTCGCTCACTTGCAGGTCGAGGTTGGCTCTCTGGGCTGTGCTCAGGACAGTTCTCAGGAGCAGCTTGGAAGAGCTCCGGGAGATGCCGCAAACCCAGCCAGGGAGATCTTGCAACGCTCGCAACACGTACAGCAAAGTCTCTCCCAACTGGTACTCTTCGCATTGCCACCCACTCAAGCCCAGTCGGTCCAGTCGGTTTAGGGATGCCACAACTGCATAAGCACCAGGTCTCAGCACCCTCCGGTACTCCGAAAGCAGTGCGCTGCACATTGGCTGCTTCTGGCTTAGAAGCTCGTCGGGCGCGATGTGGGCCAGTAGGCCCTTGTCGATCAAACAATCAAAGCTGTTCCTCCAAGCGTTGGGCATGGATGCCGCATCACCATGATGCCACTGCACCTCCGGCTGCGCTCGGCTCATCCAATCTATCGCTGTCCGGGACGCGTCCACGCCTGTCACCCGGGCCGCACCTTCCGCGAGCAAGGTAGGCAAATCTGATGTTCCTGTGCCGACGACCAAAACATCACCTTCCAGAGGCAGCCTCTGCAGCAACAGGAACTCCTTCAGCTGTTCAGCGGAACAGTAGCAATCCTCTGAAGACAGTTTGCCCTTTCTGGCCAGACTCCGCGCATAGTACTTTTCCCAATAATCAACCATTGAAATCCGCCAGATTCGCTAAATCCAGGCAGACTCGCCCACGCAAGACGGCGAGAACTTGAGTGCCCTCACGGGTCATCTGTTACCTGCTCACTCTTGCTGCAATGACACGAATAGAATGTTGACAACTTGAGCCGAAAATGCTTCCGTCAAACGATGTCGCATGTTGTCGCCCCTCGGTTCACTGCTTCACAGGAGCGTACGCCGGTGGCCTTCCTGAATCTGGCTCTGGGTCCAGCCATTCCTGCAGCACTGGAGTTATCCAGGGTCTATGGGCGGGTACTGTTGGCATGATCAGATCTTGGATTCCCAATACAGGCCACCAAAAGAGTTCACACGCCTCTAAGCATGATGACGCCTTCACCCCCCCCCCCCACTTACCAGCTGGCCTCAAGTCATTCAAAGCTCTGAGTGCTGCACATCAGCTGCTGCAACCGTTCAACTCTGCCTTGCTTTGTTTGTGGGCCAGGTTGTAGCATTTCGTACGACACGCCGCTGTAATCAGTCCGTTCATCCCAGGCAAACGTCGCGGCAAACTGGTTTGCAAACGGCGAGCATGTATTGAATTGAAAAGACTTGCGCAGGTCTGCACGCCGAAGCGCTTGGCGCAAGATGCTCGCCGGATTTGCAATTGGGCCCCGCGCGATCCAGTGCACCAGCTGAAACTTTTAGCAACAGCTCATGGTGACGGCCGTACAGATCCTGCAATGGCGCAGAAACGTCTCTGCATTTGCTGCCAGTATTGCTATTCTACATTCTCGTGATATCCGGGCTGTCAGCCATCTTTTACAAATTTGCAGTACCTGCGACGGTCCTCCTCGGCATCTGCCATACTTTCCATCAGGATCCACACCCTGTCAGCAGGAAAAGCCCATGGAATCCCATGGAGAAGCTGGACACAGAACCAGCACGAGCGCCCAGCTTTCTGCCACCAAGACCAACCTCTGCAAAGAGCCTGGCTGGCACAGTCTTCTATTTCTTCAGCGCAACTTTGCTTCCGGAGCCAACCTCTGCGCATGCCGCACATCTTCGCACCCGTTCTCGATGACCTTCAAGCACCACGCTGCTCGGATGCTCGGGGCTCAAAAGATGTCACAGATCTTTGGGAATTGAGATTGCTACATCCATGATGTCGACGTCAACGTCCAGGTTGGGAACGCCGGTCGCAGACCTCACCTCTCAAATTTTCTTGTCAAGGCCGTCTCCCACCCCCTGTACCCTGTCGCCCTCTCTAGTCGCCAAAGGAAATCACAGATCACCATCAGATCACCCCTCGACCGAAACAGGAGACTGAACAACGACACGTGCAGCACGTCGAACACGGACACTTGTTGACGGCAGTTCAGAGCATGAGTCCCTGGCCAGTTTGAGTAGCTCCACGGCTGGCAGATCAGAGACCGAAATCCTTGCGAATCATGACTGCACGCAAAACGCCGTATCTGGACTCCTCTGCCAAGCAGGTCCTCATTTCGGTTCTGAACCGCTGCGGCAGCCATTCGGATATGGCGTCCGCTTCCTCTGCCATTTCCACGATGGCATCGAATCCTTCGGTGCTTGGTGTAATGTCCGTGCACGCCAGGATTACATTGCGAAGGGAACACAGCAACATCAAGTTGACCGACGTCGAGCCAAGGAACCGCTTCTCGAGAGTAGGTCGGCCAACAGCCTGAAAAAAGCCAAGGATGCAGATGAGAAGTAGGTGACATCTTGGTCGCTAGCAGTCCTAGCGGCCACTCGGTGGAAATTGGGCTGTCTGCACAACTTGCAGATCATCACCATCTGACCGTATTTCACACTGATGGACGCCGACCTGAGTGTCTTACCGCTGGTGCTCCGGAGGCTGTGAAGGTTCACATGGGGGCTGCTCGCTTCTTCGCAGCCACCTCAAGGAGCGAACGCGACGTCAAGCATCGGACCTAATCGAACAAATCATCCGGAACATGCTGAGGGCTGTGCGCCCAAAGGCGATACGCCTCTCGTGACGTGAGCTCGGGTGGCTCAAGGCGGCAGCGAGCTCGCTCTTGCTCCCAGTGTCCACGATGAACTTAGAGAACCGACGAGGACTCTTGGAATTGACTCAGCTGGGTCTACATTGGCGCAGCAAAACCGAAAAGCCCTCTGTCAAACTCCATACCTGGACCGGCAAGAAGATCTTTGGGCGAGCAGGTTCTTTCTGCGCTAGTTAGCCTTTGACTGGGAGGTGGCTGGTGAGAGCATGATCTGTTGCAAACAGAACCCACCGCGAAGATGCTGAGCAAACTGGGACCGGCACATTTCGAAAACATGGCGCAGTGAGGCAATGGTGGCTTGTGTGTGTGCTTGTGCTTTCTGTTTGAAGTGCCGGCCATCACCCCTGTACTCACGACCTAGCTTGTTGTCACGAGCCCACGCAGCTGCGGTCAACACCACCTCTATCGCCAACCACCACGACAAACGAAAGGACCAGAATAACTTTCCAAATCCCATGCGCTAGCGGCTGTGCTTTTCTCCACTGGCCAGACCTGGATGCTTGCATGGGTTGCAGCCCGACTTGCCCTGCTGAGGAGTGTATTCCTATCATGCTGAGGAGTGTATTCCTATCATGTCCCTCATGGTTAGCCGGCAGCCCCCTTACAAACAACTCGTGCTTCCAGGCTCCAGGAACGAGTAACGAGCAACCTGCGGCCAGATGCAGGGGCTCAGGTGGAGATGCATCGTGACGCCTTCGGCCCAGGACTGACTTAAGAGGAGCTCTTCTAGGATGTTCCTTTCTTGTCCGAGCCCTTGGACCACGGAGGGCTGAGCTTGGCTCCTAGCTCTTGCTGTGCCAAGCACAACAGCAAGCGCAATGCCCTCGAGTGATATGAACTGAAATATCTTTCGCGAGCGAAAGAGAGCCGCCAAGCGGAGCCGGGAAGTGCCGGCTGATGGAAGACCCCCAGAAAGGATTACCCGGGCTTCAAAGGGCCTCCAGCTTCCATTGCAAAGGCCCTCACAGTCTCCGCTTTGCAGAGCCACTGATAAGTTTCAGAGGTACGTTTAGAGTTCGTATGGGTCCAAGGCCGGCTAGTAAGACTTTCGAAAGCGGTGGGGCACGTTTGAGATTGCCTGGACGGGTGCCACGGCAAAGGAGTCCAAGACTCGAAACGTCCAGAACCTTCGGGCACAACCACATGGGGAGTGCGCGCTTTGAGGCAGGTTTCTACAGTCTCAAAGCTAAATTTCATAGATCTACAGCAAAGCAACTCCCCGATTGCAGGAACTGGACACAGAGAAAAAACCGACGTGGCAGAGTTAGAAGACATCCGCTTTCGGCCCAGCATTGGGGCCGAAGTCGTAAGCACCTCTTCCTGGTAGGGGAGCTTTAGGCAGCTGTTACCTGGTTGATTGGATGTCCAGATCGCGGATCAGATTGAAGAGATTTTGATGAGGCACATTGATCTCAGATCTTTCGGATTTCCCTGGCATTGTCGCTTGAGTTTTTGTGCCTGACAGCGCTCCACACCGACGAGAAATCCGGAAGTCTATCTTCAATTTACGCAATGTGTACAAGACAGCTATGCAAATTTGCAAAGGGATTCAGAGGCCACATGGTCACATGGTGTGGCGCATGGGCGAATTCGTGTCGCTTCAAACCATTCACAGCTCGGGAACCACAGGTCCGACTCGGAGACACACAAGACGTGTGCTCAGTGCCAAGCAACCGTGTGGCTCTGGGATTTGCAAGTAGCAATCCGAGTGTGCACTTCCATACCAAAGCCTATGTCCCTATGTTTTGCTGAGCAACTTGCAAAGACTGGTGGGCTGGCTGCCCTGACGGGACGCCCGTGACAAGCGATACACCCGATGCACCGTTCCTTACGTATCTTGCGACTGCGAGGACTGTGAGGATGGTCGTCGCGGCATAACACCTCGCCTGGCCAGAGTAGCTGTCTTAGCTGTCTCATTTCGACAATTCGAGGCGGGCAAGCGGGCCTGTATGTACTGGTGCTGCAGTCTGAATCCTCAGGCCCACTGGGCGCGCTGAGAGACAGCTGCCCGGAACCCGAGGAGCGCGTCGGCGGCACAAAAGAGTAGTCCCAGCCGCTCACCTGACAGCATGCAGATGGAACATTGTAGCACGCAGTCTTGCCACATTTCAGGTGGATTCGAGGTGATGACCCCACGCTCGGTACTACCGTTCTGCCCGCGTGCATACCTCGCAGCTCAGCCACGGCCAGAACACATCATATTGTACATCAGACTGGCCTTCCACGCCAACCTCGTTCTGCCCTTGCGAAGGGACTTTCTGGAGCTCGTCCGGCCAAACCCAACGGGCCATTCCTTTTCGCCAGTTCGCTCACAGGCTTCGACGGCTGATCCCCCGCGCCTGTTCCAGGCGGCTGGCTCATCCAATGGATGCGCCTCTGGGGGCAACACCTGCTGCAGGAAGCGAACGACAGAAAGCTCTCTCAGGAAACGCCCTGCCATTGCCTCCCGGCGCAAAAGCTGGGCGAAGTCGACATCAGCAAAGAACACATGACCCTGCAAGGCCACAAATTCCCAAAGTTAAAGGAGCCAAAGCAGCACGGTAGAAGCGCCTTCACGTCACTGGTGTGGTGCGCACCGATTCGCTTGGCCGGTTCTCGTTCCATGGTTGCCTTGCCAAGGCGAGTGACAACATCTTTCTCGCCCCCGCTGTCCCGGCTCTGCAAACTCAAGTCGTCAGCGATACCTCAATGAAGGAGCGTCCTATGCGCGACACATACAGCGGCACCTGCACGCGGATCAGAACACTTTGTTTCATGATGCATCCTGTGCAAGCGACGACAAGGGCCTCTAGATGAGCATGCTTGATGTTTGTAAAGAGGGTCTCCCTGTCGTGGTGATAAAACCTTCGGCACAAGGATGTGGCAGGATGCGAGCTCTGTGAAGCAATCTTGAGCACTCGACGGCGGCAGGCCGGTCAACATATCGTACAACAACACGCCCAGATTGTAGATGTCGACTGTATGGTTGTGGCCTCCGACATCACAAGATATTAGGGTGGCACAGCTGACGGAAGGACGGAAAATCGACCCCGCCTTTCCGCAGGAGAATCTCTGGAGCCAGAAAGGCGACCGAGCCACAAAACGACTTTGTGCCCCGCTGGCCGACACCCTCCTCCGAGCAGACAGCGTGAGACGGCGTGAGTCTGGAAGTGTTGTCAACGGACTTGACAGCCATATAGGCATGCGCAGAGAGTGCGCATACGGTCATGCTCAAGACATTTGCGGATTAATCGCGGCTCATAGATGTTCGCTGTCTCTCGCCTTCGAGAGCCCGAAGTCCGTGAGTAGCGCATGGTGCGCCTCATCGATGACAACGTTGTCCTGAAAGAAATCTGCAGGAACCGCTCTACGGCGTGCGCTGGCAGTGCTCGCAAAGGGCAGGCGTGCCGGCTTGAGGTCGCGGAAAACGGTATGCCTTGCGAGGGAAAGAGCTCCTGGGAGCTCCCGGTTTCGACTTCGAACGACCCCCCTGCCTCTCATGCAAGTGGATCAAGGCGAGAAGGATTTCAGCCTGGAGTTCCGGGCTGTTCTGGGCTTTGGGAGTGGCCAAGGCATACCGAGGCCCGGGACTGTGTAGACCCTTGACAAACCTTCGCATAACCGCTTCTCCCGAGTGATCAGGTGCCTCGCCGCAAGATGCCGCAAGGCTCCCCCAAGCCCCGAAACCTTTGCCACAGATCTCAAGTGCTGGGTATCCGGCTGCAGGTTCCCTCGGGGACAGTACTGGAGCACTAGCACAAGGTGGCTAGGAGTTTGGAAAGCATAATGAAGTGAAACGATGTACGGATGGCGAATATAGGCGAGAATGTTCCTCTCTGTCACAGCATATCGAAGAAGGTTGCTGCTCATGATGCGGCTCTTCTGCAGCACCTTCATGGCATAGGCCTTTCCGGTGCGCTTATGCTTGACCTGGAAAACTTCTCCGAATGATCCACGACCGAGGAGGTTGACTAGCTCGAAGGAGTTGGGACCCACCTTCTCCACTCTCGAGCTTCCTTGCCGCATCCGAGCAAAGGGCGTCCGGATCTTGGGGGTGCTTGTTCCGCTGCTGGCTGACGGAGATCGTCCGGGTGAGTCTTTCGGTGAAGCTGCCTTGAAAGACTTCGCACTAAACGTCCTGCCGTCCTTCTCACGATCCTCGGACTGGGCCTCGTCCAGTTGTCGTGTCAGCTGCAACAGACGGCGCACTGCGTCGGTGCGAGCGTTGCGAAGAAGGAAGCCATTCGCCAAAGGCGTGCGGTCGTAGCCATCTGCGCAGACTTTTGCCGGGCCTTCCGAGCCGGAGCCCCGCGGGAGCAAGGGCACAGGCGGCCCAGGCAGGTCCGTGGCTTCGCCGCAGCTCCAGCTGCTGCCAGTAGCCGTGCTTGCCTCGCTGGAGGCGCTGTTCCGGCGGCTCGATGTCTTGCACCCTCCCAGCGGTCCCAGCCCTCCCAACCACCGCCCTTCCGCTTCAAAGTCCCGGAAGAGGCACAGCGTCTGGAGGTCTGATGCCGCCTCGACCGGTCTTTGACCCGATGCGTTGCGAACACCAACTTGGCCGTGACCCTCGTGACCCTCCTGGTCACGCGAGTCACGCTCATGCTGAAGCAAGATCGTCACAACCTCGGTGTGAGCGTTTGCGGCAGCATAGTGCAAGGCCAACTGCCTGTCCTCTGTCTTAGACATCGCATCTGCTCTCGCCTCCAGAAGCAGTTCGACCATCTCGGAACTTCCATAGGCTGAGGCCACATGCAAGGGAGTCAAGTGGGTCTTCCTGCTGCAGAAATTCACGTCCGCACCCTGCGAAAGCAGAGCCTCAACTGCTTCGACCACTCCTGAAGCCACAGCCAAGTGCAGAGGCCCCCTGCCCGAAGAGGCACCTGACTTGCAATGAGAATGAACAGCAGCTGGCGGGCCCCCATCGCTGGGGTGCGTCAGCTCGTGGATGATCGAGATGTTGCCTTCAGCAGCAGCTTGTAGCAACCGCTCGTCCTCCAAGGATGCCAAGCGTAACATTTCGACAAGCTGCCTTCGCACTTTCGGCATGAGGCACCTTGCGCCTCTTCTCGGACCTGGGTACAGGTAGGGAATGCAATCAAAGAACACAAAGCCAAAAGCCGTCAGTTCCTGGGCTGTGTGCCACCACTGCCGCCAGTGCTTGGATTTGCGTAGCCGACTTGGTTCGGAGGGAAAGCCGACCTTGGCACCCGAAACGGGCCATGGCCCTCGCAGCCAACATGTCGCGAATGTTTCCAGGCCGTGCGGCAAAGCTTTGGGTCAAGTTGTCCAGAGCAAAGGGTCGAACCTCAAAGCTGCATAGACATGCTGCCCTCGTGTGCAGAGTGATTGGCAGGCCTCACCAGTGTCCAGGTTCCGCAGCTGACAAGAATCTGTGAGACTCGGGGCCGTCGACGAGGGATCCTGCGCCGCTTTGCTTCAAGGCAGGCCATGCAAGCCATGCAAGCCTGCGCAGCTTTCAGAGGAGCTTAAAATCGGATCCCGACCTCGAAGACTGCCTCGAAAGGCTCTTCAGCCAGGCTCCTTCACGCTGCTCAGATGTATACCGTATACCAAACAAAAAAGTCGCCTCGAGACAAAAGACTTCTGGTTTCCTCAAATTTATTGGGTTAGGCATGAGCTGAACCTGCGGAGGAAGTTGTTCCGAAAAATAAGCGGGCTTCATGATCATCGAGGGTCCCCTGCTAAACCAATCCGTTTCAAATTTGCAGCACGTTTCAATTTTGCAGGCTCGATTGGCCACGGGCCTCAAGAGCGTCTCAATGGCCGAGGCGGCGTCGGAGTCCTTTTCGCAGCCCGGCCGGCCCGGCCACTTGAATCATTCAAGAGACATGCCGCCGAGCAGAAAAATTACATGCCGTGGCGGTCTCCTGCTTGTCTCTGCGAAGGGCCGGGCCACCAGCATCCTCTCAAAGCATCGGCACTTGACACGACATGCTGTCGACACAGGAGCGGGCCTCGGGGCCCCCTCCAGCTGCCAGTGCGTCCAGTGCCTCCTGGAACTAAGAATGGAGGCACAGTAAAGTACTGGAGACGGGGTGCCATGGTCCTCACGATCCACCGGACGCAATGGCAGAAGAGGCTTCTTGGCGGCCTCTGCCCACACAAGTTCGGGGCAACGGCAATGCAAACCTGGACGAGCCTCCATGTCGAACGGCGACCCCTGCCTTCGGACATTTAGGTGCTGTTTCATAACCCAGAACCTACTCAGGTGAACTGACGGAAGTTTCGGGTTGTAAGATCGTTGAGATTACGGATTTCCTTTATCTCCACCACTTCTTGGCCTTTCGATTCGGCTGCGTTCCAACTTCCTGGACTTGTGCGAGTTATGAGATGTTATGAGCACTGAAGCCGTTGCAGACCAGGCCCGCGTTGTGAGTCAGCTCCCGCTTCTTAGCGACTCTCACGACAGACGTCGTTGCGACTTCGAACCGACAGGTCGGAGTAGCCTGATCCAAGAACCCCGCTTCCCTGATGCATGGAATACATAAAGGTGCCTGCTGAGACCCAGCCCTTAATGCCAGAAGCCAAATAACCACCTCTGCCAACAGCTCTAAACCCCTCCACTCCCCTGTCTCGCTTCTTTAAGGCTGAAGAGGCCTCAACGCCGCCCCTCTGCTTCAGACTCCTCTCCTATGGAAGCCTACTTCGACCTGCGTGGATTCCAGCTGTGAACGAACAAGATGCTCAGATCTGTTGAAACCCACCGTCGGATCAAGTTAACAACGTTCACATCCGACAACTCCAGCCCCAGCCTCACAGGTATTGAGGCGCATCCCCCCGCCGCGTCTGCTTGTGACATGAGCTCTGCTTTGCAGGGTCTTCAAGCTGCAGTGGGCTTGGAACACGTCAAGGACTCTCGCCTGCCTCCCAGGTTTGCATGTTGGCTATGTTTTTGCTACCTGGAAAGCACCTTCTACCAAGAAATCAGACTTCGCCGGCTGCGGCAGTGCTTCAACATCTCTGGACACAAGACTCTCATGCACTGGCAACACCCAAGACTGCATACAGGCGCCGAAATGTTGTTGTAATAGAGCCGCTTTTATTCTACCTTTGACAGCCAGGCGCTGCAACACCTTTGTTTGAACTCGGGCTGCTTTGGAAGGAAAGTTCTTGGCTTCTTAGCCTCTTGCATGACGGCAGGAAATGTCTGCGACAGCTGGGCAGCGAAAGCCCTGTTCAGTAGTACTAATTGATTCCATCGCATCCCATCAACAAGCGGCGATAAGCTGCTTGTCGCTCAATGTGACAAGTCGCTGTACACCGTCCTTAGGCCTCCTACCCTGTGCCTTCAGTAGCATGTTTGGGGCCCGACAGCGACCCCAAGTCAGACCAGGTTTCTGCCATGGGCAAAGTTTCCACGTGCAAACAACCGCAGTGTGGTTATAAATGCGGATCCGGTACTTGCGGGCGTGCGGCTCAATACACAAGAACCCATCGACAAAAGCGTATTGCGGCTTCTTCACGAAACCCAGATCCGGGCCCAAACGGCCAAGGTTCTGCAATCGAGAGAGTTCACGGCCCGCAATGGCAAATGCCTTATGATGGCCTTATGTTTACGGTAGCGACATTTCCGCGGGACTAACAGAACCTCGAAAGTCAACAGATGCGGCTTTGCTCTTCTTCAAAGGAGAGCCAAAGCTTCAAGTGCAACTTGATGTAGATGCACCGTGTGCCCTGCAGCTAAAACGCGATCACTTGATCCTGGCATCTGTCGATGAGCTGTGCATCGCTGTGCGTGATCAGTTCCAGTTTCAATGGCCGCAGCCTGGCAAAACGAACACTCCTTTGCATTTGGGCTGAGCCACAATGACTGAGGGGCCGACTGGGAAAAAAGGCGATGTGCCGACACGAAGTCCTTGATTTCTTGAGACCCTCACGTCGGACATTCAAATGCCGCACGTCACCTTGGCCCGAGTCAGGGAAGCAAGGCTGCCAGTCACACTGTGGACGTTCAGAGCCACAACAGCAAGAACCTCTGAGCTGTCATCTCCAACTCTAACGCACTGGAGCATATCCCACGCTAGCGACCCACTTGCCCACCGTCTTCCTGCATCCAAGCAGCTTCTGAAGGTCTCGATGGCTGAACACTTCAAAAGTGAGAAAACCGCAGTCACGCGGTCATGCCCAAACAGAGCTTTCTTTGTGCTTGTCCCAAGCAACTTTTGAAGCGAGACAAGAACTGGCAAAATCTGCCCTTGCCAAAGTCCTTCACCGAATAGGTCTTGCCCGTCGTGATTGGAAGCTGGCTGAGTGCACGATGGACTTGCGGACGCGCGAAGACCCGCCACAAGGAAGCCGCTCTTTGCAGCTAGCCGGGGCAAATGGCGCAAATTTCACTTCATACAGAAAAACACTCACGCGCAGTAGCTCGCAAAAAAATATTCTCATGAATGTAGAGTCCTCAGTAATTACACCACAGATGTTGCACGTGAATTGGTTGGTATCGTGACCGATCAGCTTATGCTTCCTTTCTGAAGCATCAACTGACTGACACGACGGTTTGGCAGCCGAATTACAGCCCGCATGTAGATAGGATTGCGTGAGGTGATGTGGCATGGACAAGTATCCAGCGCACCTTGGCATGTCTCTTGGTATCAAAGGCATGGAGACAAGAGAGCCAGCAGTACTGTCACCCGCTGGGAAGGTGTGCCATGTGGGTAGAATATCAAGAGCTGCGACAAACAGCTTGTGACAGGCCAGGCTCAGGACGATCCACCGCATGAAGGCTGTCACGCCCCGCAAATTCTTGGGCCTGAGACTCCGGAGAGACTGGCACCGTAAGTGACCGTATGCAGTATGTACACCTGTAAGTTCGGGTGATATCGTGCAACAATGCATGACTTATTTGTGATGTAACTGTGCGTATGTGTGGTTGTGTCTGTGAGCGCGAGGGATGGAGACAGGCCAAGAGTCAAACATTCGTAAACATTCAGCTCCATCGCTCGATTGCCGTACGGAAGGAACTGAAGGTTGAAAGCGGAATTCTGGGAAGCTTACATTGAGTATTTCATTGCAGCACGGCCAAGCGACGAACATGTTCAGACAATACGGGCCTAAGACTTAAGATGTGCAGAATCCATGCTGGAAGGCACGCCACTATCACTACTAGCCTTGCGCGATTTAACCCCCGTTTCTGCACATCTGCTCCGTGAGCATGCATCGTCCGGAAAAGGTGAGCTTGTCACAGGCTACACGTCCGTGCAGCTCATCTTTAAGTGCTCCAAGAACGACTGCCTGCAAACGAATTCTTTACAGCCTGTGCTTGTGCATGAGCCCCGCGCGGTGGCTCCATGATCCAAGTCCGTTCGGACAAATGGAAAAATGAAAAACCTTCAAGACCCTTGTTCCTCTCTCACAGCAAACGTTGCCCCTCGAAGAAACAACGGCAAAAAATTCTGCACAGCGAGTAACTGAAGAGTATTTGGTGTGGCTGAGTCCAAGGCCCAGCGCCTTTGGATCCCAGCGCCAAGATCGCAAAAGCGATCAGGGGCAACATTGACGCAGTAGAACTGTGGAGGAAGTCTCCAATGCCCAAGTTCAGACAGCAAATAACCAACATCTCAGTAGCTAACCGCATGTTTGACATACTTGGGTGGAAGACTAGTCATGGCTGGGGTGTAATCTGCAATTGCCCGGCACAACGTCAAGAAACGATGAAGCAATTGCCCGCCAGTCGTTGGGTCCTGAAACCACTGACCAAGCAATTCAGTTCTGTGCGCACTGTATGCAATGCTGCAACATTCATTTCGGGTCAAGACTTGGAACTCCCAAACACGTGACCTGCCGCCAGTGTCACCTATTTTGACAGTACCAAGGCTGCCCTTGCCGCTCCTTCTTTGCGACCGGTCTGCGACGCGGCAAGCCTGGCCAGATTCATGTGCGTGTGCTGCGAGTAGAAATCACGATTTCTCCTTTCTTCCGGTCCGACCCCAATCGCTGCCGCTAAGTGACGTTCAATGAAATCGACAATGAGGTAAATGACGGGCGGCAGATCGAGATGATGAGGAAGATGAGGAAGAGGATGAGGATGATGAGAATGACGATAATGGTGATGATGTCAATGAACAAAGATGACAATTATGACGATGAGGAGGAGGATGATGGACGCCGAGCCCAAAAGGATGATTGGCGCGAATCCCAAAGCCCAAACATGACAATATGATGGTGCTGAAATCCAAAACTCTGACACAACATGGTGGGTGATAAACCTTCTACATGAAGAATGATGGGTGTCGATCTCAAACCCTAGCAGCAGATGATGGAGAGGAAGCCGCAAACCCAGTCACGGGACGCTTGGTGGGTGGGAGGTCTGTTGAGCGACATCGAGCGGAAAGCACTGCTTCACATGTGGCGTTACTGCTTGTCTGCAAATGCAGTCCATACCAGCCGGTGAACCGCAGATTTCGATTGTGACAAATCCTCAGCCCCGAAAGAAGTGGGGAAAATGACACATGCGCCTGAAACCAAAGCAATCGGTGTGCGGCTCACAACTAACAACTGTGAGACACCTGGCCTTAGGAGGTTGTGCATGCACGATGTTCTCGTTGGCACCTTGCATGGAGGCCCATCGCTGGCTCTCATTACATCTTGTAGGGTTCTGAGGCGCAGACCACGGATGCTTCAGAATGTTGCAAGATGAAGGCCTCAAGCGAGGCACTGGACAGGAGCCTGAGCCAGCTGCAAGAGTCCGAGTTTTGGGCCGTTTCTCCGGCGCTTCCTGCATCAACTCGCCCAAGAGATCGACTGCAGCCTCCAGTTATCTCCAGTTGCACCCTAATCCCCGATGTACGGCCGCGCTTGTCAAAACTCTTTTGTGGAAGCGTCACGCGGGCGCGCACTCACATTAGAAGCCAGAACTCCAAACCTCGACATGCAGGTGCTCGTTTTTGAAGGCGGACCGGCTAGTTGTTGATTGAACCAGGAGCTGGTGCCCACGTCAGACGAGCTCTCTGAAAGGGAGAGAAACTCACTACGGCGTTTCGAAGACTCTCAGGCAGGGGAAATGGCAAGGAGGGTGGGGCAAGCCGCATTTAGTGAGGCAGGAAGACAAAGAAGCGATAATAGGGGGGGGGCCCATGAACTACCGGATGCGAGTATCCGTAATGCTTTGCGGGACAGTGTCTCGAGACAGGAAACCCGCAGCGTAGCGAGACCGATATTTTGACAAGACTACAGACAGGAAAGCCCAAAGGCCCAGAGTACATGTAGTCCGCGCCCGTGCACCACCTTAAAACAGAAACATGCGTACGTCTCCCGCATCGCGATCGCCTTCGAGGTTCGAGACCAGGTGTCGTCGCTGAAGGACACCTCGACCTGGCGGTTCAGTCGGCTTGGTGCTTCAGGAAGAGTTTTCACCTATCAAGCCTTGCTCATGACCCTCACCATCTGCATGTAGCTGGAAGCCTTGAACGCTGCAAACATGGAGCCCAGAGCAAGCCTTAAGCGCCAAGAGTGGTGTCTGGGCCACGAGCTTCAAAGGGCCTCCTGCCCGCAAGGAGCGTGTAGATTGCAGCTCCTGCAGACCACATGTCGGCCGGCTTGCCATAGGGGCGCCTGGAGCGAGCACATCATCACAGAATTCTCTGAGATCTATGCGTGACATGCCCGTGGCACCCTCGCACGACTTCCGGAGCTGAAGTCGAAGGAGAGCCCACCTGGTCCATCAACACCTCAGCATAGGCCCTGTAGCAGCCCTAGCACAGACCCTAACACCGAAACCAAGGTAGTGTCACACTGCTTTCACAGGATACCTCGTCAGGCATCACGCACGCAGCAAGGCCGAAATCACCCAGCTTGTACGTACAATCCTCCAGGTCGACGGTATTGGGCGCCTGCTCGAAGCACGTGTGTCATAGACTTGTGGCAAGTCTCCAGGCCACAGTCGCAGGGGCAATAAGTTCTCAATCAACAAAGCAGAGTAATTCCTCCGGGGGCACGCCTCAACTTTGAACACATTCTCACACTTCACGTCTCGATGCACCACGCCTGCCGCGACCAGGTCAAGTATCAAAGCATGGCACTGTCCAAGCACACAGGTTTTGGTCCATTCTGTTCGACAAGTCGGCGCCCGCAATCGTGCTGAGTGAACAATCACAAAGCACGGCGTCACCATGCTTCATTCTCTTACTACGTCACCACGCTTCATTCTCTTAGGGAGGAGCTGGCTACCTGAAACATCTTGTATCCTACGCGTACTTGAATTCCACACCTAGATGCAACCAAGCTTGGGGGGAATGTTGAAATCTTTACAGGTCATGCCTGGACGGGTTCCAAGGTGCTGTTCTTGGCAACCCGTTCAAGCAGCATCCGCGATGCATGCCCAAACAACACCACGTCGAAATCTTTGCCTTGTTCGTGAAGGTAGGCCAGCGCTTGAAACCTTGCAGTCGCTGTGCTGTCGATTCAGTCTTTTCGGGTGGCTGTTCCGACCCTGTCTCGGGGCTTTGGCGTGTGCTTCATGGCCCTTCGTGTCGCAGATTCTCTGAGTCCTCGCAACACAGCTCTCTGCTCTGCTCTGCTCGCAGAATTTTCATCAGCCCGGCCTTTGCTGTTCTTTTCACGATGGCGTGACATCACTTCCAACAGGTCTCCACCTCTTTGCTGGTGGCCCCAGAGTCTCAAGTGAGGCGAACACACACACCGCTCCTTTGCAGAACTCCAGAACCAGGGACACCATCTTGCTGCTGTCGTCGTGAAAAGTCTGCGAGAGCTCGAGACGCAGCAACTTGCAGCAGGCGCATCGAGACTTGGGGCCGCACATCGATCAACTCCACGATATTCCTCTGAAGAAGACGATACTGTAGGGCAGCTCTGCCCTTCTCAGTTTTTGAGCAATGTCGAAAAGCTCGGGGAGGGTCGGATGGTGAAGATTCTGGTGCAAGCGTATTTCTCCAGGTTGAACCTGGGATCGCCCAAGAAGCTGTCAAGGCTTCTTTCACGCAGCCTCTCCTCCAGAGCCTCTAAGAAACTGGCGCCATGGCCGAAGATACATCGCTTGCCTTTGACATGCAGCCTGGCACGGAGACGGAGGCATTTGGCGAAGCAACACTTAACGGACTTAGTGCATTCAATTTGAGCACTCCGTGCAGCCATTTTCCGTCTCAGCTTCGCAGCTGGATTCCTGAGCCAGTCCAGCTTCCTGCGGCTCCCTGTGGCTCCCTGCGGCTCCCTGTTCGCTCCAAGTTCCAACTTCCGCTGCTCGGCCGAGCTCAGGCTCACAGCGTGGCATGTGGTTTACGTGGGTGATCTTGGACAGCAAGCTTGCCGGCAGCAGGTCCTTCGCAAATTCCAGGTTTGACATCTCCACGGTGAGGACAGGTGTCGGTGTCGGAGATCACAGCTCCAGGTGGCTTTCTATTCGCTCGCGAAGCGTGGACGGAGCGGATTTGGCCGATGTCTGAGTAGACAAGCAAGGAAAATCGATACAAGTGCCTCCAACAGTTCAACATTGCAGTGGGTTCGTTTCGGCCTGTCCCTTTTTGGCATTCTTTGCGTGCCACGCCACGTATGGAAGCGCTTCCAGGCCAGGAGCCCGCGCAAAGCCTCGACTCGCCAACATCTGTGGTGTCACCTGCAATCCAAACAAAAAGTCGCGTCGCCATACCGTAACAGTATCCTTCTGCACCGAATTACTGTGGCCCTCTGCCCCAGCCTCTGGAAGCTGGGAAACCTCCAAGGTTCGCAGCGCCATGCAGTAGGCATCCTTAGGACCGGCATGCAGCACAGTTTTCTGAGCTGGCCGCGGCACCTCTGGCCGCACGCGTCGAGCGTAGAAGTCAGCTCCGGCCTGGAAGGTTTTCAGCAGGGGCCAGGCTCTTCGTGCCGGCACACGGGAACAAGGCCTCGGCAATCTGTTTGGCAAGGGTCTCATTGCCCTCCAAGGTTGTAACCAGTTCAATGAGGTCATCCAGGCTGGCAGAGACGGGGACGTAGTGCCTTCAGCACACCCTTTCTCATCCTCTCTGCTGCTACAAGTAAGCACGATTAACACGTCCAGGACGTCTTCACCGCTACACTCTATCTTGATCTGCGGGGCTTCCACTCCACAAGTTCCCAGTGCAACGCTTCGTGAGTGAGCGATCGCTGAAGGAGCAGCACCGAGCCAGTGCCTTGGCTTTCGCTCCCTTGCCTACTTAGAAGACACCCAAAACCCCGTGAGGGTGGACGACTGACCGAACTGCGCTAGTTGTCCGAAGAGTTCCGGGGGCGATTTACTGTACCAGCCTCGGTTTCTGAAAGAACTTGTCGTCCAACCCCGGCCTCAGCCACTCCTCATCAACTACAGAAGCCGGAATCTTTATGCTTGTCCACCCCGACAAGCGCTTGGACAAGCATACAGCGAGCGTTGTCCTTGCTCTTCCTGACCATAACAATGGCACTACAAAATCCAACATTGGTGCAAGCGCGAGGACTCCAGAACCTGCCCATCCGGCGAAGCATCCGAAGAGGAAGCCACCACGAACTAGAGTAAACTGAGGTTCTGAGCAGCAGCAACAGCAGCAGCAGTAGAAGAAGTAGTAGTAGTACTGGTAGCAGTAGCAGAAGCTGGTGCCAATCTTGGTCATCTTGGTCGGGTGGTATGCGGTGCAAGTGGTGTTGTAGTTTTGGTAATTGTGTTTAAATCCAGCTGGTGCAGATGGGAAAAGATTACCAAGATTACTGTCATCTTGCCCCGCACCAAGATGACCAAGATATCGAATTGAAACGGTTCTCGATTCCCGGCACAAAATAGTGGTACCAATAGAAGAAATAGTAGTAGTCGTCGTCGTTGTCGTAGCAGTACTAGTATTATTTTGTAATTGCTGTTGTCGTTGTAGTCGCAGTGGTGGTAGTGGTGGTGGTAGTGGTGGCAGTAGTAGCAGTGGTAGTGTAGTAGTAGTAGTAGTAGTAGTAGTCGACGTCGTAGTAGTAGTAGTAGTAGTAGTAGTAGAAATACGAGTAGGAATAGGAGTAGGAGTAGGAGTAGGAGTAGTGGTAGTAGTAGTAGTAGTACTACTACTACTACTACTACCACTACTACTACTACTACTACTACTACTACTACTAGCAGCAGCAGTAGCAGTAGCAGCAGCAGCAGGAGTAGTTGCAGCAGGAGTAGTTGCAGCAGTAGAAGTAGGAGTAGAAGTAGAAGCAGCAGCAGCAGCACGACGAATTAAACTCTAATGATGACAACAGTCACGAAAGTAATACTGACAAGCGTAAGAATGCTACGCTATTGCTTCTGCCGCTGGCTGCACACAGCCTGCAACTCATCGAGTCAAGGAGCCTCAATACCCGGCCCATCGCCTTTGACGAGGCCACTGTCCTTAGATGAGAGGCGCAGCCTTCAATGATGCCCTGCAGATTGCAGGATCTAAAGGTTTCGCTTGCCGACGGCGAAGCTTGTGAGACCGGGAAGTGTAAGTGAAGTAGACACTTGGTGCACGAGTTCAAACTCTTCAAATCCGACGGCTCTTGCATAGACGACTGACCTTGGGTTTGCGTAATGGTCGACTCCGCGTTCGGCTTTGCAATGTCTTGGCAGCGCTGCAAAGGGAAAGGCAGTTCATCAACTTACGGAAGACGGCTCCCGCACTGCATATCGCATGCGACAGATATCAAGGCAAGAACATAAGCCCGGACCAACTCGGCCTTTGCCAACCAACCATTGCCATGGCTGACTGCAAAGTTGCACAAGTGTAACACCCCCTGAACGAGACGGAATGCCCAGCTGAGCTCTTGGACATCCTTCTGCAATAGACGGCATTCCCAACTGAGTCGTCGAATGTTGTCAAGCAATTGCCCGCATGGCAGAGCAGGTACGTTACTCGCTGGCTGAATGTCAGCTGAACCGCACAGGCAAGTTTTACCCAGTTCCGAGCCGCAACATGTGCTGGACAAGTTGAAGCCTCCGCGATAGCTGTCCAGTCAACGGATACGTTCTTCTGTGTGATTCGGACATGCCGGTATTCCAACGGTCTTGGTGTGCTGAACTCGCAAATGTCCAACATGCAGCTGTGCTCTCGAGGGACGATGTCGAAGGAAAGAGCCGACAGCAACACCTCTCTGAAAGTCAAGCTTGGCAGACTCTCTCGGCTGGGCACTGTGGCTAGCAGTGGAGCATCAGAAGTCTCTGGCAGCCAAAGCGCATGACGACACCCGGTCACCTTTTTTTTTCGGTATTTTTTCCTTTTTTTTTGTATTTTTTTTCCGTTTTGCTGGGTGTAGCTTGGTGTAGGAATTCCTTAGGTCGTGCAGCTTTGCTGGGTGTATCTTGGTGCAAGAATTCCTTAGGTCGTGCAGCTTTGCTGGGTGTATCTCGGTCTAGAAATTCCTTATCTCGTGCAGCTAGTCAGTAATAGCAGTAGCATTAGCATTAGCAGTAGCATTAGCAGCAGCAGTAGCAGCAGCAGTAGCAGCAGCAGTAGCAGTAGCAGCAGCAGTAGCAGTAGCACTAGCAGTAGCAGTAGCACTAGCAGTAGCAGTAGCACTAGCAGTAGCAGTAGCAGTAGCAGTAGG